CCCCACCTGGCCACCCCCTCCCGGGCGCTCCGCTCACGGCGTCTGTCTTCCCACCAGCGCACCCCCGGACGCTATGGCCCACCTCTCCGGCTGGCCCCGCGTGTAGGATGGTAGCACACAACCAAGTGGCAGCCGACAATGCAATCTCCACGGCAGCAGAGCCCCGACGGCGGCCAGAGCCTTCTTCCTCCTCCTCGCCCGCGGCCCCCGCGCGCCCCCGGCCCTGCCCGGCGGTCCCGGCCCCGGCCCCGGGCGAGACGCACTTCCGCACGTTCCGCTCGCACGCCGATTACCGGCGCATCACCCGCGCCAGCGCGCTCCTCGACGCGTGCGGCTTCTACTGGGGACCTCTGAGCGTGCACGGGGCGCACGAACGGCTGCGCGCCGAGCCCGTGGGCACCTTCCTGGTGCGCGACAGCCGCCAGCGGAACTGCTTCTTCGCGCTCAGCGTGAAGATGGCCTCGGGCCCCACGAGCATCCGCGTGCACTTCCAGGCCGGCCGCTTCCACCTGGACGGCAGCCGCGAGAGCTTCGACTGTCTGTTCGAGCTGCTGGAGCACTACGTGGCGGCGCCGCGCCGCATGCTGGGGGCCCCGCTGCGCCAGCGCCGCGTGCGGCCGCTGCAGGAGCTGTGCCGCCAGCGCATCGTGGCCACCGTGGGCCGTGAGAACCTGGCGCGCATCCCCCTCAACCCCGTCCTCCGTGACTACCTGAGCTCCTTCCCCTTTCAGATCTGACCGGCGTGCAGGCAGCATTAACTGGGTCGTTTTGTTACTATTTTCTGTTATTATGATTTCTCTGGAACCACGTGGGGTCCTCCCCACCTGGGTCGGAGGGAGCGGGAGTGGGGAGCCAGGCAGCGCCCCCTCTCTGCAGGAGGAGGCTGCAGACCCTCCCCACTCTGGTGAGGGGGCCCCCCTCCGCTGCTCCCTCGGGGTCCCCCTGGTCGTTGTAGCAGCTTAATTTAACTATGTGGGGCCAGGACCTGAACTCCTCCCTCCTACCTCTTCATGTTTACATATCCCAGTATCTTTGCACAAACCAGGGGTTGGGGGAGGGTCTCTGGCTTTATTTTTCTGCTGTGCAGAATCCTATTTTATATTTTTTACACCAGTTTAGGTAATAAACTTTATTATAAAAGTTTTTTTAAAGAAGAAAGGTTTCTAGAGTGTGTGCTTGGGCCCACAGTCGCCTGGCTCCTACCCGTCCTGGGGAGAGGGGTCTCAAGAGGAAGGGGGTTTGCCTGGCCCTGTCCTGGGCAGGGGACAGGACAGCTCTGGGGACAGGACCGTGGGCCAGCCGGGCGGTGCGTCTGGTGAATCGGCAGCTGATGTCTGAGCCCCTGCTGAATGCCCTCCATCTTCCAGAGCTGCTTCTAGAGGCTCTTTGCCCGTCCCCCAGCGGGGAAAACTGGGGTGGGGGTAAATGTGTGGTCACTCCGTGGCAGAGGTGATACTTGGGCCTTGTGCTGGCTGTCCACGGAGAATCTGTTTGAAATGGGTGACAGAGAGGAAACTTCTTTCATTTCTGACCACAACAACTTCCAGGAAGGGGGCAGGGAGGGGCAGCGAGGTGGAGGCCGTGAGTGTCCTGAGATGGGATTCGGGGCGTGCGGTGGCCTCTTCCTTGCCCTCTGTTTCCGTCCTTTTTGGTGGCACAGCTTGGATCCAGAGGAGCTCTGGTCTGTGGTGGCAGGACGGCCCTGTGACGGCGATGGGCAATTCCCTGGGCCTCTCTGGGCCTGGGCTTGTGGCAGGAGGGGCTGCTGTGACCCTCAGCAGCACTGGGCAGCGTGCGGAAGTGATGCTTTCAGTGGCCAGGTTAGGGTCGCTCCAGGGCTGGCTGAGGCCTGGATCTGGGTTTTCTGGCTGCTCCTGTGTCCATGGCCCGCCTGGCAGACCAGGTGCGGGGGGCTAAGTGGCCCCCGGACTGGCCACACTTAGTTTAGGGTGGCTCTCCACAGCCGAGGTCAGCAGTGTCCTGATGACACCTTCGGACAACAAAGTGCAACTTAAGAGTGACCTCGATAGTGGAGCCCAGGCTCATCCTGGGGACCAAGCAGGTTCCAGGCTCCAGGTGAAGGGTGGCGAGGGAGAGATTAGGGATCTCGGAGAACTTGGGCAGTTTTATCCTTCAATAAGGTGGGCTTGGAGTGGGGGGCGGGGCTGATGGGAGGGGACATCTTTTCTCTGTGCCTCCGAGAATGGCTGCTTATTTCTGTGATTCCTCTTCCTGCCCTTCGTTCTCCCCTGTGGGCGGCAAGTTCTGCCCTTGTTCTGATGTTCCAGGGTTTCTACCCTCCCTGGAAGGGGCGTGGAGAGACGAGGTCCGCATAGGGCAGACCACGAGCGCCTGCTGTCTTGGGGCCTGGCAGCCCCTCTCCCCCTCACAACCGGCTTATAGTCAGGAAGCTCTGCCCCACTGCACAAATGGACAACCCTGGTGCTGGACCCAGGGCTCCAAACCCAGTGCTGCCCCAGAGGCTGGGACACGAGCCCACTCGCATCACTAACGGCAGCCCAGCGACCGAGGCCACCTGTGGTCTCCAGGTACCTCTGCCTTGCCTTCACCTTTCACCCCCGCCGTCCCCACCTTATGACTCTGGTGCTGTTAGTATCCCCCCTGAACAGAGGAGGAAATGGGTCCCCAGCCAAAGAGGGGTGAGTTGACAGGTGGTCGATGGGACACTTCTTGTTAAGACTCTCCTTTTAAAAAAGTTAAAAAAAATCAGATCTTCACCCCGCAAGTCCATTTCCTTTATGAAACCTGGAGCCAAACAGCCCATCTGATCCCATTCCCTGGAGCTGACCCCTTCTATTCTTGGTGAATCACCTCTTAAATCTCCTTACAAGCACGGGTTACCGTGACCGAAGGTGACCTGTGGCCCCCCGGACTGCACGGCCTGTGTGGACGACAGCCTGCTTGCTGCAGAGGAAGGGCTCAGGGCAGCGTGTGCCATGTGGCTTTCCTGGCGGTGCAGATTCTCTAGCTTTCAAACCTCAGCTCATGATTCAGCAGCGCTGACGTCAATTTACAAGAATGAAAAGTGAGAGGAGGGTTGGGGGGGCGGGCGCTGTGTTGGGGGCCCAGGTGCGCCTGTGGGATGCTTCCCCCAGAGTGGGTGAGCTGGGCTGAAGGGGAAAGGGGCCGCTCTAGTGCCTTGGGGCTGCGTGCTGACGTGGGGACAGCCTCTGGGCAGCATCAAAGCTGCCCCTGAGCTCTCAGTTTAGAGATGAAGAAATGGAGGCCCAGAGAGGCACAGTCACTTCGTTGGGGTCACACAGCTCAGAGGTGATAGCCAAGACTTGCAACACGGCAAAGGCAATGGATGACTTGGGGAGGGGCGTGCTGTCTGTCCTCACCTCTGGCTGACCTGTCGACCTCAGGAGCAGACACTGTCCCACAGAGGCGGCGCGTAAGGCCCTCAGGAGCCCCCAGGAAGTGGAGGGCCGAGCCTCTTCCATGTGGTGACAGAGAGCATGAACTTGGCAGTGCATCTCTGAACGGGGTTCAGCTCCGTAAGCGACGCTCGACGCTCGCATACCACGCGCTGAGCTCTGGTCCAGTTCCGGGCACTGCTCGCAGCCAGTAGGCTGGGCAGGTCTGCTCCCTGTCCTCCGCCGGTCCCCGTGCAGGCCTCAGTAAATAACTCCCAGGAAACCAAAGGAACAAGAGCCTTCCCACACGTGGTGAGACACGGATGGAATTCAGCAAGGTGACAGGAGAGTGGGTGGGGCTGTTGTGGAAGAGAAGTCAGCACTGACAGCTGCCCGGGGCCCCAGCCAGCCCGGGCCGCGGGCGCTGTTGGCTGGGAACAAGTTCAGGCCGTTCCGGAAGACTGGCGAGCTGGTGGGGACTGAAGGAAGACAAGTGGCAGTGGGGGAGTGACACAGTCGGGCTCGTGATGAGGAGCTCAAACGTGTGATGGGGCGCCTGGGGTGAGGGCCCATCTAATTTGTGCTGTGACCAGATCCCCCGGCTGCTGGGTAGAAATGGCCTTAGGTTTCCTGCCATTCTGGGTGTGCACGTGGGGGTGGGGTGGGTGGTGCTTTCTGAGCCAGATCTCTCAGCTCCAGCTGACCAGGCCAACAGCAAGGCAAGGACGGCCACAGGACCTGCTGGCGGGAAGCTGGGGTCAAGCGTCCGCCAGGCCTGGAGTGGCCAGCCCCGGGCCAGCCACCCATCAGACCCCCCAAGCAGGATCAGACCAGCAAGCCTGGGTCTGAGTAGTCCCACAGGGCCCTCCAGCCTCCAGGAAGCCTGCAGGGATCATCAGGTAGCACACAGGAACGGAAAGGAGGTGGACCCTAACCTGATGCAGAGTGGCCACCAGGGTCCCTCAGAGGGGGACGGGCAGTTTTCAACAAAGCAAATTCTCAGGGTGCAGTGGTGCAGCACGTGGGGCTCACAGCCCCTCCCCGGCCGGGATCTGCCTCCGAGACTGACACACCACACTCAGGCCAAAGCCAATCTCTCCCCTCCCGCCACGCCCCAGTGCCCTAGGGATTCCGGGGCGCAGGGCAGCTCCCACACTGGGAGGCAGGAGGCCTGCTGGTGGCTCGGCGCAGGAGTCTGGCCTCACGCCCACCGCTCCCTGCCACGGGGCCTTTGCACATGCCATTGCTAAGCGTCCAGCTAGTTGCGAGGCCAAAGGCTGGCACACACCTAACCCGCGCCATCGCCCGAGCCGCCGGGCTCCGCGGGGTCCCCGGCTCCGCCGCAGGTGCGGCTGCTGGTGACGTCACCGCACCTCCCTCGCGGGCGGTCGAGCCCCCGGGCCGCAAACGCCTCAGTCTGGCGGCGCTCGCCAGACTCGGCTCGGGGCTGCTCGGCTCGGATCGGCTCCGGCGCTCGCCAGACTCGGCTCGGGGCTGCTCGGCTCCCCTCGGCAGCGCTCGGCTCCCCTCGGCTTCACCGGGCCTCGGCCGGCTCCCCGCCCCGCTGGCTTCCGCGTGGTCCTGCCGCCGCCGGGTGCGCGCTGCCCGACGGCCACCTGCTGGTTCCAGAAGACCCGCGAGGCCCCACAGAGCATGTCCCAAGGGCCTGAGGGTCAAGATCATAATAGCCGGCCCTCTCTGCCCCCCTCTGATCCTCAGAGACCCCAAAGCGCTTCCAACTTACGCTCTCCACACTGATGGACCTGCCAGCCGCCTGCCCCAGCTCACACCGGAAAAGAGGAAGCCTCTTTTCCTCACCTGGCACTGAGGTTAATGCGCTGGCGAAATTAAGCAAAAGGGAGCCTGCACAGCACCCCGCACCGACGGGCTCTCTCAGCTGGCCCTGCGTCCCCAAGTTGTCCCCAAGTTCGCACTAGCCGTCACCAGGCTGCACGGCAGGAGACCCAGGCTCAGGAAGGCGCATGTGATGCCCACACTCTCCCTCTTCCCCACCCAGCCAGGCGCTCCTGGGGTCATGGGTGTGGCTCACTAGGACCCTTAGGGTCATCACCCTGGGGTGGGCAGTTGCGGGGCCAGCAGCTTGTCATTCCCCACGCCCACTCCCAGCACAGGCCAGGAAGCCTAAACGCCTGGGCTGGAAGTTACCTGCAAGGCTGTATCAGAACCAGGCCTGGGACAATGGCCAAGGCTGCTGGGTCAGAAGGGGTCCTGGAGGGTGGCTCTGGGCAGCGAGAGGAACCCGCATGCAAATGAGGATGGGGCGGGATAGGAAGTCCTGAGCCAGACACTGGATCCCACGCAAGGGAAGTACACTCACCTGGCCCCACCTGGGGACCTGTAGGGGCCTGTGGAGTGAGACGCGCACCCCCTCCCACACCTGGGTGCAGCCAGGAAAAGTGACCAGAGGCATGAGGAAGGAGAGGAAGGGGTCAGGGTGGGACCGTCAGCGTGGAGGGCCTGTCCCTGACACGCCACCCTGCAGGCGACACGGGAGGAGCTGGCACCCAGGATCTGGGTGACTTCTGTTGAGTGTGCCAGGTGACCTCATCTTTAACATGCGAATTAGACTCAGTGGCACTGACGGTGCCCTGCTTCTGAAGGGTCATGCGGGCCAAATGATTTAATGTAAGTGGCTAGAGAGCCGTCACCGCCCACACAGGGATCCCAGCAATAACTATTATCTCCCACCACATCGGCTGCCCAGATGTATCTGAGTGGGCGCAGCCACGCAGCCACACAGCCCT